CATGGGTGTGCCTTTTTTGTACCCCCCCCCCCGGCCCGGCCAACCCCCCCCAAAAAAAAATAATAAAAAAAGAAGAAGCAACCAACAACAAAATCTGTGTTTTCCCCGTGGTTTTCCCTTTAAACCCATGAAACCAACACCCAAAAACCGGGGATGGGACGCCGTAAAATTGCGCGCATCGCGCGAGCCGAGGCGCACTGGCGGAAGGCCTCCCGCAGCGCCTTCACCGAGACGGACCAATCCTCCTCCGGTTGCGAGGGTCGACGTCGACGTCGGTTTGGGGGGGGGGGGGCGGGTCCCATTTGGCCATGGGCTTTTCAAAATCCAGATCGGTGAGCCCCCAGTGAACGGGAACCAATCCAACCACAAAAGTAAGTTCTAACATGAGTGGTGAATTCACCTACCCCAAAATGGAACCATTGGCTTTGACCCACAGCCATTCGGTATCTGGGGTGGTTGGTATCTGGGATGGTGGGGGGTTCAACCAGAAGGTATCTGAGTCTGAGCTTTGGTTGGTTGGTATCTGGAAAGAAACTGGTTGGGGTCTTGGTACTACAGGTAGTTGGTTGGTATCTTGGCTGCTTGGCTGGTTGGTTGGCTGGCTGGCTGGCTGGCTGGCTGGCTGGCTGGCTGGCTGGCTGGTTGGTTGGTTGGTTGGTTGGTTGGTTGGTTGGTTGGTTGGTTGGTTGGTTGGTTTGGCATTTGGTCTTCCAAACGAAAAACCGACCTGAAAACACTGATTGCATCCCTACGGTTCTTAGTCGCACTTCGTACAGAATTTGCCAACTGGGGCACCCTGCAAATCAACAGGGTTTCGGGAATGAACCAGTGAATTAATCCTCTAGGAAACCATAAGTTGGATGGTTCAGTTGAGGCAGTCTCTCATTCTCTGAGAACCAGCAAGGGAAGGATACCCTCTAGCATAAAGTTATTCATTGACAATGTCCGGAGGATAAAGGACAAGCAAACCCTGTCTGACACCTGTTGCGCAGCCAAAGTGACTGCAACAGGCTAGACTGCACTGAGGGCATGCAACTGCTGCTTACTCCCCACACATGGCAAGCGGACAACAACACTGCTGCATGATTACAAGCCTCAGCCCTCGTCCACCAACATGGAACCCGACCGGGATGGTGCTTTGGGAAGTGAGAAATAGTCCAAGCGAAGGCTTGCCCTTGCCCCCGTTAGCGAAATAGAAGGACCCCCTGTGACGCCTGATACTTTCCCCACTATGTCAAAAGAAAACCCCGACTCAAACCGGGCGCCTTCCCTCGTTTTCGTTAAACGTTGACCGCCCCAAAACCGGAAGCTGTCCTCTGAGTTGAGGAGCAGAGGCTGCACCGCTTCCGCAGTGTCGACCGCGACAATGTCCTATCAGCTGGGGAGGATCGAGCGGCCAAGGATCACAAGGCTGCACCTGGTTTCCCTGACCAGTTTCAGCCATGTTAACTCCGGATTAATAAACCCCAGGTCCCTGGTTGATTGACGGGGGGGGGGGGTGTCCCCTTTTAGTGGGGAGTGTTCAGTTTTGGAGGGAACACCCCCCTAGTAATGGGACGGGTTTATTTATCCTGGGTCAACATTACTTCGTGGCCCAAGTTGGCTTCTACTGCATTCCATGTAGAAAGCCTCTGACTGCCGAAGGTTTCCCGGCCGTGATGAACAGTCCCAGCGCGGCAACTCGCTTGGATGCTTCCAAGGTTGCACAGCAACATCGAATTACTGACGTGCGCGTCAGGCAGGAATTGGGGCCAGGCTGTGATGCTCTTGATGTTTGATACGTGGTGACGTGGTGGTACAATGTTGGCTGCGTGCTAGATCTGCGTTCTGCACGAATTCCACCGACATGAGTTGAACGTGATTGGTAAGATACGAGCATGATGTCACCAGCATGCTTTGTTTGGCCATTCGCAGAGGTTTTGTTGATCCCAAAAGGTGTGAATTCTGCTCGGGTCGTTTGGGCACATTAATGTTTTGTGGTTGCAGTATCCGGGTTTGCTTGCCCTGGGCCGGGCTGATCTAACCTTTCTGGGAGAATCTCACCGCTCATGTCCATGATTGCTTGCCGCTTCTCTGTCACCTTAGAGGTGACCTAGACTGGAGTTGAAAGGACGGCAGGTTACCAGCTGGGAATGATGCGGGAACCTGTTGTTCTAGGTCTTTGTCAACCTGCTCCACATTAACAATCATCATCATCATCATCATCATCATCATCATCATCATCATCATCATCATCAGCTGAGAATATCATCCACGGTTTTGCATGGAGGTTCCCTTCAAAGGCTCCGACTGAATCTGTCACAGTCCTCAGGACCCTCGCCGGAAAACTCAGAGCAGCCAGCCCCCATGGCGCTCAAATGTCGACCTTGATCTGAGGCCTTCTAGGATTCGACCAAATTCCAGTGGTTGAGGCCACCTGACATGGAACACAGGGCCCCTGAAAAGGAATCCAAAGCAGGTGCGCCTGTGCATGTTGTATCCATGAGTCACTCGCTGTGATGAGTCAGCGCCTGTGCCTGTCCTGGCACTCCTCCATTGATTACGTGTGTTAGCCTTCGACGTAGATTCTGACACACTGCAAGCCTTTTGCCGAGAGTGGAAAGTCATCACAGGCAAATTGTTCCATCAATTGTTCCTATCCATGCAGATTTTGGGTTGGCCAGAGGCAAGGCAGAAGCCATGCGTATGTGAGCCCCGCAATTTGTTTGCTTTCGTTCCTATGAAGCAGGGAGCAGCTTTGTCACTCAGCTGGTGCCACAGAGAGGCGACGCCATGCCGCGCACAAAATAACTTTCAGACATGAACCTTCCAAGCTGCGGATCAAGCTATCATGTGTGCAGCTGGCCACCAATTCGACCAAGACGGTTTCACCGCGTTGAACGCTCCTTAGGCGGTCAACGGTTGACAGAGCTTCCCAAGATTTTCAACCTGGCACATACCTGCAGAACATGCTGCTTCAGCGAGGTGCTTGCCATGAATATGAGTCGGGGTTGATCAATATTCCATTGGAATCCCACAGGACCAAGGGTATGTTTCCCATTTAGTGGGAATATCATCCTTTGTGGCGGGTTTCCGCAATGGTAATCCCATGTCAAGGACCTTTGACAATTTGGATCAACCCCCATGTGCACAAAAATAAGAGGCCTTTGCAATTCAAATTCAATGCCATATGTTGTTTTCTCCCAACCAGCATTGATGTCAGCTTGCCACACAAGGCTCCGGCTTCGGAATGTGCCGATAAATTAAATGAAGACGGCAATTTAGAAATAAATTGGTTGGCTTAAGCGTCATATTAAACAATTGGCAAAATGTATCACGTGTGTTCCACGATGAGTCCCTCTTCTTTGAATGCATGTCTTTGCAATGATTGTGCCTGCAATCACACCGAATGCCTGAACGAGCCTCTACAAAGTGTAGCATTCCTATCCTTGCACTGCAAGGTGGCAAGCCTTTCACAAACACAAACTGGTGCCTATAAGCATCACGGCTGTATTGTTCACACACCATTTTAGTATCCCGTTCAAATTTAAATATATCGTCTACTCCAATGCACTGGTGTACGAACCGGCAGCTGCCAAACTCTCGAACCATTGGGAAGAGACACAATGTGTGACGTTCAGCAAGATGTCAACTAACAAGCTGTCCATCTGGACGGATAGATACATAAAACATATTGAAGAAACGATCAGTCAACATTCCTACTTTCAGTGCTAAAGCACATAGTAATCACGTGGTGCCAATAGAACATGATACAAGCGGACCGAAGAGGCCAGGTTTCTCTGCTAAGCTGCTAGGCCCGCATCATTGAGTAAGCAGTCGGTTCTTCATGAGGAATATAGAAAGCCCAAACCCACCATGTCCACCGCTACATCACTTAGAAATAAACGCAGCACCAAATGATGCTAGGATCTCGAATAGGGCCATTGGACAAATTGCCACAGCCTCTCCTTCAACCCCTGCTGGACTCATAGCGCAAGATCGCAGGCGAACATTTTGGCCCTGCTCGAAGCTCCAACAAAGGCCTGAGCTACGCTGAGTGGTGGCAACTTCTCAAATGGCTAGCTCGACGTAGAACTGTTCTTGGGTGGGGGTGAAATGGCAAAGGTCAGCTGCCATGGTGATCCACAACAAAAGGAACAGCGTCCTCCTCGTTGCATGCCCAGCAGCCAAAACGCTATAACATGGCCCGCATTGCGGATATGGCTGTGGGTGCGTGAAATAAACAAAATTACACTGCAATGAAAATGCACTTCAGGCTAAGTTCAGTGAAAGTGCAACACTTGTCACAGCTCTCACATACACACAAATCAACACACTTGCGATAAACAAGCTAGCATCATGAACCACGCTTATTTATGGTGTCGTGGCCAAAGCGTTGGCTTGGCAAGCAGTCTGCACAAGCATTCCGAATCACCCCAAGCTCCAAACATAATGATGACAGCCTACCATGGACACCTCCAGTAGAAAATAAGGGTGGTGAGCTTCTGCCATAGTTCTCTGGAACGGTCGCCGGTGGAATTCGTAGGGGAAGCCCATCGAAAAATGAACATCCCCACCTGGGAAGCCTCCTGAATCTCGAAATTATGGTTTTACTGTATTAGTTGGTTGGCCAAGGACAATCCAAACATTGGGTTGCCACAAAATTTGTCCTCCCAAAAGTAAGTCCAAAAACTCTGGGAGTGAATCCGTCATAGAACCGCCTTCAGCGCTGTCTTTTCCTCTTCCAAAGCTGTACACGCTCGAGCGCGGCTCATGGGCTTCGAGCCATGGACGGAGGATCTGTCTAAACTGCCTACAGTACTGCGCAAGGCGAGTGTCCATGGAAAAAAAGATCCGGCGACTGCACAGCAGCCATTGGGGAATGGTGGTAGGGAGATGCAAAGGATAGACTTGAATGACACTCGCCATACGTGAAAACCAGATGATGCAAGTCTGCATGCTGTACATCTGCACACCATCACAAGCAGACTAAGTATCAAATAACGAACCAGTCAACCGACTCAGCGGAGGTTTCCGCAGTGCTTCTCCACGAAACCTTGGCCAGAAAGCCAACCCTGCCAGCTAGTTCTGATGTGCTAACCAAAAGTAACGTTTCTCCTGATATTGGAGCCTTGATGAATGAGGTCCCCCCCCTGTGTGACGTCACAATGGCTTGCCCACATCAGCCGTGTTTCTGTTGCGTTGGCCCCAAGCCATCTCCCTTTGCCCATGAACCGCTGTGCTTACTCTGGCAACTAATACCATACACAGTCATTTCCAAACAAGCGGTTACTGCGTGTATTTTCTGATTGCTTGTTTGCTTAGTTGAATGTTTTCCTGCTTGCTTGCTGGATTCCTTCTGTGTCTGCTTGCTTGCCTGCCTGCCTGCCTGCCTGCTTCCTTCCTTGGTTCCCTGCTTCCTTGGTTCCTGCTTACTTCCTTGGTTCCTGCTTACTTCCTTGGTTCCTGCTTACTTCCTTGGTTCCTGTTTACTTGCGCGCGAGCGTGCTTGCTTATTTCCTTCCTATCTTCCTTCCTTCCTTCCCTTCCTTCCTTCCTTATTTTCCTTGCTTGTTTGTTTATTTTTTAACCTGTCTGTGTGCTTTTGGCGTTGAAGCTCCTGCGCTCAAATAAAGTTGCTTGCAAAAAGAACCACACAGGCAGGGCAGTACTCTCGGGAGCACCGATTCGGCCCCACTTGCACGGAAAGAACCTGCTTTGGACTACTGTAGATTGGTCAAACCAACTGGTGTCCCGCCAATTGACATCACGCAACTTGCAAAGAACAATGCGGCGGCTACGTTCTGTGTAATTCTGTTCGGGTGCCTCCGGGGAATATCAGTACCACACATGCCCTTGTTCACATGAAGCTCATCACAACGTGTTCTTGAGAACTGAAGCTAACATAGTCATTCTTGAATTCGCAGTTGCAGCACCACGTGATCCCACCCATTTTTGCGACAGATCAGTCCCAGCTGCCCTCATTCGCAGAGCGCACGAACACTTGGGCCTGCCAAGGCAAGCGAGCGGTAATTCAAGTTGTCACTGTACATAATTTCCCTGAACATCAGGAGAAGCTTGTGACAGGGCGCAACCATGACCTTTCACGGGTAGTCTTTGCTTAAAAACCGATTTGTCTGAGTTGGAAATGATGACCGGACAACAAACGGAACATGTGAGTAATGCGAGTGCTCCGAACTGACCTGTGTTGACCGACGACCTTGTGAATTGTGTGGACCTTGCACGGCACGCAATGTGTTTTCGACCCGTGCAATCTGAAAGAAGCCACGAACCCGAACGCTCTTTTGTTTTTCCCCGGACCTTTTGGCTCGAAGCTTGAAGATGATGACTCGCTCTCACTCATTCTCTCACTCTCTCATTCACGCGTTCACTCACTCTCAATCTCGCTCAAACTCAGTCACTGACTCGCCCACTCACACGATCACTCTGACTCACTCAGCCACTCACACTCACTTTCGCCCACACTCACGCTCAAACACACACACACACAAACATTACTCACACTGACACCTACTCTCACTCACGCTCTGACTCTCACTCTCAATCTCAACACTAATACCCCACGCTCAGACTCACATTCGCGTTGACACCCACACTCGCATTCACACTCGCACTCGCGTAAACTCACCCTCACACTCCCCTACTCACACTCGCGCTCACGCTCGCACCAGAGTCAGACTTGCACTCACACCTACACTCTCTCACACTCACACCCGCTCTCACTCTCACTCTCGCTCTGAGTCTGACTCAGTCTCCCTCACCCTCACTCACTCTCACTCTCACTCTCAAGTCACTCGCTCACTCACTCACTCACGCACTCTCTCTCTCTCTCTCACTCTCTCTCTCTCTCTCACTCACTCACTCACTCACTCACTCACTCACTCACTCACTCTCACTCACTCACTCACTCACTCACTCACTCACTCACTCACTCACTCACTCACTCTCTCACTCACTCTCACTCACTCACCCGCCCACTCACTCACTCGCCCGCCCGCTCGCTCGCACGCTCGCTCGCTCACTCACTCACTCACTCACACTCACTCAGTCTCTCACTCTCAAAGTTGCGCACCGCGCCAAAGCGTTCGACCCGCCCAAAGTGCGCAGAGGGTTGACTTTGCGTTCTCAAAATGGGCACAGCGCTACGCAGCGAGAGTGATTTGACCCTACCCAGAGTGTCGAAGTCTGGAGTCTGCACACAAGCTCGAAAGTGCTCACGCGCGAAAAGCCCATTGGATGTGACAACTTTCAAGCTCGTTTGGCGAGCGCATTGTACGACGGGGCCAACGAAAATGACACTCGCGCAAACGCTTGCACGCGCCTGCCAACCAAGACACCTCAAAACGGCCACCCTTGAAACCCAAATCACAACTGCACGGCAACGCAAACATGCGACCTTTCGAAACACTGCGCCTCGCCTGTGCAGCAAAATTTAGCGCCATGTGTCGGTGCAAAAGACACGATTCACGCACAGGCGAACTGAATTCAGCGCTGCAAGTTTTCGCATTTCGCAGCAATCCCAACGGCACAGCCATACGTTCCACTCACAGACCCTCTGCGAACGCTTGCGGAGGCAGCGACAACGCGAACACATGCTGCCCCCCCCCCCCCCCCCAACTGTGAACGAAACCCTTCTGCTATTCGCATTGGGGAAAAACGGTTTGCGCTCCGGCAAACAGCGCTTTGTGGTGCCTCTAGGTTTCATTTTGTTACTCTAAAGCAACTCCATGAATACCAAACAATAACTTCCCTGACTATGTCATTGTGTTCCCAGCAAAACTCGAAACGACTTTGCAGCGCAGCGAAGCACGTGTCACACCTGGAAGGTTCAGCTACGTTCACATCCACAAACGGCCGTGAGGCGAGGCTTGAGCGGGTACGGGGGCACATTGGAGGAAACAGCGCAACGACCAGAGCGCCATGGCACCGGCTCCGAAGGAGCAACTTATACACCCAAAAAAGGCGACAAGAACAGGGTGGCTTGTGGAAAGCATCCATCTCTGTGGCCTTCCTCTCTTGACCACTTTGCTACTTCCTGAGACCTACATGCATGATTCGCAGGAGGTGCCGTAGGCTGGAAGGCCATGCTGGCCCATGTCACTGCCTCTTGTCCCAAGTTAAAGCCTGCGACCATGACAAGTGCAATAAACTGACGTTGTCTTCGATACTCTGCCGACCCCTTTCTCGGAAGGAGAGGCGCATGGGAAGAATGCCACGGGTTACCGTAATCATCGCCGTCGTCGTCGTCGTCATCATCGTCATCATCATCGTCATCATCATCATCATCATCATCATCATCATCATCATCATTGTCTGAGCTGTCATCATTGTCATAATCAACGGTAAACACGGAAAATCAATTCGGACGCTAGCACCGGCGGTGGTGCTGGGGTTGCCAACGGACGACGTTTGGGATCGCTGCGGCTCTGCATTATCATACTCGTCTTCACCATCATTATCATCATCATTGTTACTATCACCATCCTCATCACCATCCTCCTCACCATCCTCATCATCCTCATCATCCTCATCATCCTCATCATCCTCATCATCCTCATCATCCTCATCATCCTCATCATCATCATCATCATGATCATCATCATCATCCTTTCCTTGTACGTACGGAATTCAAATGGGACGTTAGGCACCGGTAGTCAGACTAGGGATGCTGGCGATGGCGGGGTTTTGCCTATCCTATCTTTTATAGTATGGGATTCAAAATCGACGTTCGGCTATCAACCCGGATATGCTCAAAAAAATGTGCTGGAGGTTCCGTTGACTAAAGCGATGATCATACATCTGCTTCGATGCGGGCGATGCGGCTGATGCGGGGGGTGCTGCTGGGAGCACAAAGCATGGGGTGGAAGTGCTGCAAACCCAAGGTCAGGTGTAAGTGAAAACACAGGAGCCACAAAAATGCTGAAACCTGTCTGACCCTGCCCGCGTAAGTGGCTCTCAGCGCGCGCAGAACATCAGTTTGCTCAAAACGGGTTTGCTTGCAAAAACGCTGCCTGAGTGACGTTGCTTGCCTTGCGCGCAGCTCGAACACTTTAGGAGCAGAGCTAGCAGCTGAAAAGTTGCACGTCACAGTGCTGCCACGGCCGGTTGTGCATCAGCAACGCAACTGTTTAGAATGCGGGTTCTTCCAAGTTCTGCCTTGCGCAAGGATTCCACCGATCCCAGACCGATGCTGGGGCCAAACAACAACCACATGGTGCTTCCAACCATTTCACAGTCAACTCCTCGAGCCCAGTGACCCGTAATAAAAGGAGCTCTTCTTAGGAATTTCCATATTTTTAGTGAAAAAAGTGGATTTACCCTCCCACCAATGAACATGGAACCTGACGGGGGGTCACTGCAAGAAGGAAAATGGCCTTCCAGGACCCTGTTGGGTTCCATGTGAATTGGTGCTACTGGACGTTTCCCTGCCACTCGCCAGGTCGCGCCTTCTCGCGGTCGCGCTTGGCGGCACGCCAGAGGCCCCAGAAGGTGGCCTCGAAGTTCCGGGCCCGGAGATGTGTTTAGGGTGTCTCATCACTCACAGGCCCTTGCACATGCGTCTCATGTTCGACCGCTTGCAATCTCCCTTACACTGCGCCCTGGTTTCGGGTGTCTACACAAGTGGCATGCAGGCAAACAATGCTTGCCTCACCGGGACCTGGGAGTGAAGCGAAGATGTGTACAATGGACGGCAATAGACAGTGGGATACGCCGCTCAAAATAGCGGATCGATGAATTCCAATCTGTGGAAAGTAACAAAACTTGATGGCTTCTTCAGAAACCTCGCCGGTGCTGCAGCGGATCTCTCATGCTGCCAGCTCTGTCTGTGGCTGGAGGCAAAATAGGCTCCTCCATCACCCAGACACGATACACAACCACACACCACACACCACACATCAACCACGCACACACACACACACATGCTTCGCACAACAGAGCACAAAAGCTGGCACAGATCACAAACTTCACATCACACACCATAATTACCAAACCATAGACACGCACACACACAACACAACACACACACACACACACGCACAGACGTAGTGTGTCTCCTGTTGGTCACCACACCACAGGAAGGCCCACAACTCATATTCACAACTCCAGCTGAATCAAGCTAGGCTTGCGCGTTTCAAGTTGACAGTGAAACCATCACCTGTAATTTCAATAGCTTCGAGAGCAACCATGAAGCATTGGAGGATCAAATCCCTGTCATCTCACGGCCCCTGAACTCGCCTTGTCCAAGCCATGGACGTGAGAGGCACGCCAGCAAAGTGCCTGTGCGATTGGAGCAAATGTTGCCGCTAGACTCCCAACTGGCTACAACAACAACTGAAGCGCTAAGCCATACTAACAGAACCCAGTGTGAGAACTTTGATGCTCTGGCCGAATGTCGTTGAATTCATCAACAGAACATGAGTCTAACATCGTGTCGTACCATACTTCCGCTGGGCCAACCAAGTCCGCTGTTCAAGCAGAATGATCCGCCGCAAGATAAATCTGCTGGCATCGATGGCAGCGCCAAAAAGAGCGCTCACCCTTGACAAATGCATCAACCGAACATATAATGTTTGCCACACATGATTTGATTAGCATCAAACAAGTGCCGGAAATGAGCCGCACGTTGCTTCAAACATGCTAAGCCTGAAAGTCATGAACACTGACAACAAACAACTGTCACTGAAAAAAAAGTAATAAACAAAAATCAACAGGTCTTGATCTTTGCTTGCCAACCACTTAGACTCAGCACCTTGCCCAGGGACCAACAACTGAGTAACTCATTCAACAAATTTCATTAATACCGCATCACGTACAGGGGGAGCTATGTCCGCCAAGCATTTTGAGGGCTCCCCATAGAGTTCATAGCCTTGCCCAAAATGATTTTGGCAACCACAAACCGATCTCCTGGTCATATTGTCCGTTGCTCATGTTGTGGGTCTGTCTTCTTTTAAGCGTCCCCTTTTGGAGGCTGGCGTTTGATTAAAGGGAAGCTAACAAACACACCACGCTGGGCCCCTGGGGTGTGCAAATCCCTATCTCGAGTAACACATAATGTTGACCCAGGATTAATAAACCCGTCCCATTATTAGGGGGGTGTTCCCTCCAAAAGTGTCTAAATCCCCAGTAAAAGGGGACACCCCCCTATTAATCAACCAGGGGTTATCAACCAGGGGTCTATTAATCAACCAGGGGTTGAATAATCAACCAGGGGTCTAATATATAATCAACCAGGGGTTCATCAATCAACCAGGGGTCTAAAAATCAACCAGGGGTGTAGAATCAACCAGGGGTTTATTCATCAACCAGGGGGTTTCATCAACCAGGGGTTCATCAATGAACCAGGGGTCTATTAATCAACCAGGGGTTAATCAATCAACCAGGGGTCTATTATATAATCCAGCAGGGGTTCATCAATCAACCAGGGGTCTAAAAGTCAACCAGGGGTGTAGAATCAACCAGGGGTTTATTCATCAACCAGGGGGTTTTCATCAACCAGGGGTTCATCAAGCAACCAGGGGTCTATTAATCAACCAGGGGTTACTCAATCAACCAGGGGTCTATTATATAATCAGCCAGGGGTTCATCAATCAACCAGGGGTCTAAAAATAAATCAGGGGTGTAGAATCAACCAGGGGTTTAATAATCCGGTGGTCACACTACCTCGTCTCTGCCTTGAAACCATCGACGTCTGCAGCGTGGCCGAGCTCGAAGGACATGCCAGCACCCACGCTCGCCCATTCCTGCCGCGAACGCCGTGCCACAGGCACGAACCCCCCCTCCCACCCCGAAAACCCTCGCAAAACGCACCGGAGTGAATCAACCAGTCGGAAGAAACCATGGAAACATGCGGCTTGAGGTTCGGCCAATTCATGTAGGGAAGCCGTTTTTTCTTCCCGAAAGGCCGGTGGACTCCAAAAAAAAGCTGTCGCCAGAGTCGGCGACAAACCTCTCCATACGACCTACTGGCGACCTGAAACAAGAGAATCAACATATATCAACATTCAACCGTCGTGTGGATGCATTTCTTGCAGGCTTTTGGGGTGAACCAGCTGGGGAATTCTGTCATGGTTTGAGGTGTGGACATTTATATTATATGCCTCGGGTGGCAGACATCAACAAAACATGTCTGGCACTTTGAGAGCCTTTGCGCTTTGCGACGAACCCATGCGCAGTGCGGCCGGCCATTGCGCCAGCGCCAGCCTGGGACTTTGCTTCGACGCGCTCGTCATAGATCGCCATTCGGACATCTACCTGCCCAAGCCCCTGGTGCGAATTGGGTGTGGGTCAAAAATGGGTACCCCGAATGGAACCCTAGTAAATGGAAACAAAAACTAAAACCTGCGGTCTGGTGAATTAATCTTGATCCATACCTAAATTTGAGGACCTTCTGGTTGGCAACTGGTGATACTCTCATTGCAAGTTGACATCACACAATGACTCGAAACAAACGACATGGCGGGGGCAAGCAACAAACAACATAGTCATCAAATGTGTAGGGAAACAATCAGCATGTGACCAGCATGTGGGTGGTGTCCAGAAACTCCCTCCGAATCTGAATGGAAGATAGAATGGAAGTATGGCCATGCAAGGTTGCTTCCTAAAATGACTTTGCTTTGCTTACTTTACAGGTGAATGCCAGACGTTTGGTGCACAGGTAGAACCACACTCCTGCAAGATTCCGCGGCAAATCAACCCGCCGCAAACCTTCCACGACTGCAGTTTGGCACTAACTTGTTTTCTTACAATGTCCAATTGTTTGCGGTTGTGCTCGAGCACAAACAACACAAAAGTGTCGGGTAGGCAGGATTGCCTGCAGACCACATGCACATCAGTCGCAACGAATTGGTTAAGGCCGTAAACTTCAATCCTTCACCAATTTGAATGCTAGAGCCAAACGACAAGCCTCCTCGCGCCCCAATCGTTGCAGAAGGTGTTGTGCCCGCTCAGCCGCACAACATGTCATCCCCCTTCCCTTGCAGTAGTGGTCTTCCGCAGCTTTAGCTCACATGACTTCGTGCTAGTAGGTTTTTTGTATATGAAACGTCACACAACTCCCATGATTTCCAAACATGATTTTACCGGCTCCCAAGTCAGGGAGCTTCATAAGCTTTCTTCCCACATCCGATCCACGCGACCGGAATCGTCCAAGCCGCCGCAAGCTCTCGGAGCGTGTTCCCGTGGCGCACGTCCGGCAAGATCTCTGTGAGACACCCGCCGTTGTCCACCGTGCGGCGGCTACGAGACGACCTTGGGAACCAAAATAAAGAAATATACCTGGAACAGTCGCCCCACAAAGGACACTCCCAAATCGTCATGTCAGAAGTGCAAAAACATGGCCTGGGAATCACTGGAAGGGACGAGCAGCAGCAGCACCAGCAACTCCCAGCACCAGCAGCGCCAGCAACAACCGCAGCACCATGGGCAACACCAGCAAAACAATCACTACCAACACCAACCCAACAATCACTACCAACACCAACCCCAATGCCAACAGCAACAGCAACACCACCAACATCAACAATGAAGGCATAAACTTAAACACGACGACGACGACGACGACCACGACCACGACCACGACCACGACCACGACCACGACCACCACCACCACCACCACGTGGTCGCGAGCACAACCACGACCACAATCACAACAACACAACCACACCAACAGCAGCAGCAGCAGCAGCAGCAGCAGCAGAAGCAAGCAGCAACAAGCAGCAACAACAAACAAAACACAACAAGCAACACGAAACAAGGGAACAAGTGAACCAGCAACAAGAAACAAGCAACAAGCAACCTAGGAGCAACGCTTCAATAGCTTAACATGTTCTTCAGAAATCATTCTTGATGCAGTGTCTCAGTGCCGTATACGGGCTGCATAGCTTTCATTCAGAACGGTTCGAGCGTCTGATGCTAAAGAACTCCAGCTCCTTTCACCAAGAACGAAATTAGACAACGCCAGCCACCACGCAGCCTGCCCTCATACCCTTCCCTTTCTCTGCCGAAGCTGCTGATGAAGGAAAGCTTGCGCCGCCATGGTGGCAAGCACTCGATCCTCCTTCAAGATGAGAGTCATCAATCATGCGGTACAAGCAACTTACCAAGCGCAATAAACTCCCAAATGCAATCATCCTCCCTGTGTGGCTTCAACGCGAAACGAGTCCAGCATGTATTTGAAGAAAGCTTTGCTTGGTGCAGAGAGAAGTAACGACAAGCAAACGTTCCGCGGTCGACTATGCGACACGGCTGCATTGCTTCGGCAACATGCGAGGCTATGCACGCAGTTTCTTTGCCCGAAGCCCATACGCGCACAAGCTGAAGCCTGACTATGGCTATGGTGGACGCCCAGCTGACATCCAACCCATTAACAAAGCGCATCGAATGTGAGCTCCAGCGAATCAAGCCCTTTCAGAAAGCGATTCCAAAATCGGAAAAAGGTGGTGCTATACCGTAATAGGAGCGCTTTAGCTTCCTTGCCCAAGGCTTGATTTTGCTGTTGTTTTTCAGCGGTCCAAAACGCCAATACGGCGAGCGATCTGGGCAAATAGGTCCTTACATGGGTCTCTAGATTAGGAATGTGTATAAGTACGGGCGCGCCCCCGTTTTGGATGGCTCAAGGAGATTAACCCACAAAATAAAGAAGCATTCGTCTTGCTTGAAAGTTTGAGACCACAAAAGCCCGAAACGTCATCTTGCGGTTGGCGCTTCAACCACCTCATCAACCACACTTCCACCACCAAATGGAGGCAGTTGCTTCAATCGAGGACTCCTCAAAGCCTCTTTGTTTCCCTTCAAACGGATATCCCATGACACCCCTTCCATTAGTGGTTCCCCTTTAATCCACCAACCATTAGGCTAGCCTCACAAAACACCACACCCAAATCAAGTGACGCTCAAGGCGCCCGATCCGATTCGCCCATTCGGCGCCTCGCAGGGCCGCTCCACGTCTAGCCACGTCTTCAACAGCTCAGCAGCTTCCGTCTCGAATTGCATGGCTGCAACCAGTTCCAGGGCCTCGCGATGAGACCACGCCTAATGTGGAAGTGATACAAGACACCTCGTTCAAGAAAAAAAGGTTGGCATCTTGAGGAAGGTGTTGCAATTGCATGTTATTCGGAACTCGGCCGTCAAACTCAACTCTTAGCAACACCGTGTCTCTTGCTGTTGACAAAGCTCACCTTGCCAGTAGAGGTGACTTATAAAGCAGTCCTTCGCCAGTGCAAACTGGGGTCACTCCAGTGAAACTTAAATTCGGCACGTTTGTAAAGCCCAACGGGGGCGGATCCTTCGCGCCGCATCGGCAGCCAGTATGGTAACTGCCAGTTGGATCCTGATGTGTGCAATAGACCGCCAACTCCCTCTAGAGTACATTGAGAAGAGAGGGAGATTGTGGTCCTGAATTCGGACTGCCCAATGCACACGTTGATTCACAAAGGCAGCTACAGAGGACGTACTTATTCCGAATTCTGTCTTGAAGGGCTAGGCAGTACCCTCAGCGTCTTGTTCACACCTGTCTTCCCGAGTCAAGCGGGCTCGTGTTACTCGCCATTAGACATTGCGGCTGATGCTCAGGCGTTTTTGAATGCTCCTAAACAAGCAGCATGGGAAGAGGAATTGCAGACAACACAAGAAACCATTGGCGACATGTGTCCAAAAAACATGCAACCTTCGATCTGGAACATGTTCAATAAACTGCAGCTGCCCAAACGTGCACTCAATGCCTGCCTGATTCCTTGGTTGTTGTTGACCCC